ACATACAGTTGTAAGGACTAAAGGATGGAAGTACTTACAGTTGTGAAGACTAAATGATGGGAGTACTTACAGTTGTGAAGACTAAAGGATGGGAGTACTTACAGTTGTAAGGACTAGAGGATGGGAGTACTTACAGTTGTGAAGACTAAAGGATGGGAGTACTTACAGTTGTAAGGACTAAAGGATGGGAGTACTTACAGTTGTGAAGACTAAAGGATGGGAGTACTTACAGTTGTAATGACTAAAGGATGGGAGTACATACAGTTGTAAGGACTAAATGATGGGAGTACTTACAGTTGTTATGGGAGTACTTACAGCTGTGAAGATTAAATGATGAGTACTTACAGTTGTGAAGACTAAAGGATGGGGTACTTACAGTTGTGAAGACGTAAAGGATGGGAGTACTTTACAGTTGTGAAGACTAAAGGATGGGAGTACATACAGTTGTAAGGACTAAATGATGGGAGTACTTACAGTTGTTATGGGAGTACTTACAGCTGTGAAGACTAAATGATGGGAGTACTTACAGTTGTGAAGACTAATGGATGGGAGTACTTACAGTTGTAAGGACTAAAGGATGGGAGTACTTACAGTTGTGAAGACTAAAGGATGGGAGTACTTACAGTTGTAAGGACTAAAGGATGGGAGTACTTACAGTTGTAAGAACTAAAGGATGGGAGTACTTACAGTTGTAAGGACTAAAGGATGGGAGTACATGCAGTTGTAAGGACTAAATGATGGGAGTACATACAGTTGTAAGGACTAAAGGATGGAAGTACTTACAGTTGTGAAGACTAAATGATGGGAGTACTTACAGTTGTGAGGACTTAAAGGATGGGAGCTACTTACAGTTGTGAAGAACGAAAGGATGGGAGTACTTACAGTTGTAAGGACTAAAGGATGGGAGTACTTACAGTTGTAAGGACTAAAGGATGGGAGTACTTACAGTTGTGAAGACTAAAGGATGGGAGTACTTACAGTTGTGAAGACTAAAGGATGGGAGTACTTACAGTTGTGAAGACTAAAGGATGGGAGTACTTACAGTTGTAAGGACGAAAGGATGGGAGTACATACAGTTGTAAGGACTAAAGGATTAATTCACTAGTTCAGGTGCGTTTGCTACTAGTTGTAAATACTAATGAATGGAAGGTTTGTTTGGTTTTTGTTTTACGCCGCACTCAGCAATATTCCACCTATATGGCTGCGGTCTGTAAATAATCGAGTCTGGACCAGATAATCCAGTGATCAACAGCATGAGCATCGATCTACGCAATTGGGATGCGATGAATGAATGAATGCAAGGACAAACAGTTGTAAAGACTAATGAAGGCGAAAACTAATTGTTGCAAAGACGTAAAGGTTGGTCGTGATATCGCTCTATGGTGAACTGAATTCACTGATGCCTTTAAGGTGGAACACATTTTGTAGCCAAGTATGGAATCCTAGAAGGGACATTGTCGTTATGTCTCATTGTCGCGTTGTCGCCCTTCTAGGTTTCCATAGGCAAGTGCTTCAAGCGTTCGCTCGTCATCCGAGTTTGAACCTTACAATTACAAAGTGTGAAGCCTAATTTTGGATATTGCCCGTCATGTTCCCAACACTAAACCCCATATTACCACCTAACGTCAGAGTTGTGTCCCTTAGGCGCGCTTGGATCAGCTGATTATGATTAAGAATCAATGATTCACCTTGACTATGAACCATGTCGCGTCACCCTGATGTTTGTACGTTTCAGTAAATGGGTAAACATCAAGTAAACTGTCATTCTGAAACTGGAATACTGTCCCGTCACCCTGACGTTTGTTCGTTTCAGTAAATGGGTAAACATCAAGTAAACTGTCATTCTGAAACTGGAATACTGTCGCGTCACCCTGACGTTTGTTCGTTTCAGTAAATGGGTAAACATCAAGCAAACTGTCATTCTGAAACTGGAATACTGTCCCGTCACCCTGATGTTTGTAGGTTTCAGTAAATGGGTAAATATCAAGTATACTGTCATTCTGAAACTGGAATACTGTCCCGTCACCCTGATGTTTGTAGGTTTCAGTAAATGGGTAAATATCAAGTATACTGTCATTCTGAAACTGGAATACTGTCCCGTCACCCTGACGTTTGTTCGTTTCAGTAAATGGGTAAACATCAAGTAAACTGTCATTCTGAAAGTGGAATACTGTCCCGTCACCCTGACGTTTGTTCGTTTCAGTAAATGGTTAAACATCAAGCAAACTGTCATTCTGAAACTGGAATACTGTCCCGTCACCCTGATGTTTGTAGGTTTCAGTAAATGGGTAAATATCAAGTATACTGTCATTCTGAAACTGGAATACTGTCCCGTCACCTTGATGTTTGTACGTTTCAGTAAATGGGTAAATATCAAGTATACTGTCATTCTGAAACTGGAATACTGTCCCGTCACCCTGATGTTTGTTCGTTTCAGTAAATGGGTAAATATCAAGTAAACTGTCATTCTGAAAGTGGAATACTGTCCCGTCACCCTGCTGTTTGTACGTTTCAGTAAATGGGTAAATATCATCATTCTGAAACTAATACTGTCCCGTCATTGTTTGTTCGTTTCAAAGTAAACTGTCATTCTGAAAGTGGAATACTGTTCCGTCACCCTGATGTTTGTTCGTTTCAGGAAATGGGTAAATATCAAGTAAACTGTCATTCTGAAACTGGAATACTGTCCCGTCACCCTGATGTTTGTTCGTTTCAGTAAATGGGTAAATATCAAGTAAACTGTCATTCTGAAAGTGGAATACTGTCCCGTCACCCTGATGTTTGTTCGTTTCAATAAATGGTTAAATATCAAGTAAACTGTCATTCTGAAACTGGAATACTGTCCCGTCACCCTGATGTTTGTTCGTTTCAGTAAATGGGTAAATATCAAGTATACTGTCATTCTGAAACTGGAATACTGTCTCGTCACCCTGATGTTTGTACGTTTCAGTAAATGGGTAAATATCAAGTATACTGTCATTCTGAAAGTGGAATACTGTCCCGTCACCCTGATGTTTGTACGTTTCAGTAAATGGGTAAATATCAAGTAAACTGTCATTCTGAAACTGGAATACTGTCCCGTCACCCTGATGTTTGTTCGTTTCAGTAAATGGGTAAATATCAAGTAAACTGTCATTCTGAAACTGGAATACTGTCCCGTCACCCTGATGTTTGTAGGTTTCAGTAAATGGGTAAACATCAAGTATACTGTCATTCTGAAACTGGAATACTGTCCCGTCACCCTGACGTTTGTAGGTTTCAGTAAATGGGTAAACATCAAGTAAACCGTCATTCTGAAAGTGGAATACTGTTCAAACCGGCGTTAACATTAACACACCCGCGTGAGGAACTCCAGACATTTGCCTCGACGTTCAACCCACACAAGATTCCAGTTATTAGCATCAGCGACTAAATATCCACCGCCACATCTAACTCACCAACCACTTCTGATCAGAGATAATTAGATTACTCGTGGCCAGGACATCATTATGTGACGACAGGTTCTATACGGACGACCAATTCATCCTATTATGGAACCCGATCTTTGAGTATTAGGATTAAGTCGAAGGGCTTCCGACCAAGCACCTGTCGTCTACAGTCGGGAGTCTGAGTGAAACAGCATTATAAAGACCCACCGAGACAGCAGGACCTATGACAACTCGCTGACGGCAAAGAGGACTTACGTTTATGCGTTGTTGTATTGGGAGGCAAGGGACCGAGTTTTGTATATTCTCGGAGATGTGGATGTGAGTGTGAGTGTGGGTTTGGGTTTGGGTTTGGGTATGGGTACGGGTATGGGTATGGGTATGGGTATGGGTATGGGTATGGGTATGGGTATGGGTATGGGTATGGGTATGGGTATGGGTATGGGTTTGGGTTTGGGTTTAGGTGTGGGTGTGGGTTTGGGTTTGGGTTTGGGTTTGGGAGTGGTTGTGGATGCGTGCGGGTGTGGGTTTGGGTGTGGATATGGGTGTGGGTAGGGGTATGGGTGTGGATTTCGCTATATTTCTGAAAAATAAATCTTGTCAGCTGGAGTCATGCAAAATATGTGAAAAGAATAGTATGTCGTCCTGCCAGAATGGCGGCATCTAACAAAGCCAAAGGGGTTATTTCTAGACACAATTATACTATTACATTGGTCGTGTAATTGTGGGTTCAATTATGACTATCCAGAGATGGGGCAAGGTTCGACTCCGATATGCCCACAACCCTCTTTCAATAATACAATAGTTCTACTGTATTATTCGTTTCTTTTGCACTGGAATTCGTATGTCTTGTGTAGGTCACTGAGTATTGTCCATACTAAGCAGTACTTATGAGCAAGGGTCGATGGAGTAGCCTAGTGGTTAAAGCGTTCGCTCATCCCGCCGAAGATCTGGGTTCGATTCCTCACATGGGTACAATGTGTGAAGCCCATTTCTGGTGTCATCGGAAGTGATATTGCTGGAATAATGCAAAAAGTGGCGTAAAGTTAAACTCACTTATTGACACCCGATATCAACCTTTGTCCTTTAAGGCCGTCAAACGTTGACGATTTACCCAGCGTATGCCGACGTATGAACGTATGAAAAAAAAGGCGAATAAGCTGGCGTACGTCGAATAAGTTATGGGTAAGTTTTGTATAAGGTAAACGCACGCTGAAGAACGCTGGTATACGTTGTAGTATGGCGAGGTCGTCGGAAATGTTTGTGCACGCCAACGATTTTCGACGTATGCAAACGTATGGCTCATACGTCCTGCATACGCGGGCAATGCAATCGTTGACACACATTCACACACGTTACTTGTAAGTCGAAATACGGCTAAATAATGTCTACTGTACCCATGAGTAACGTGCTTTGAACGTATGCGTAACTTTTATCGACTTATTTTAACTCCAACGCATATTGACGAATGTAGATATTTGACGTGCTCCGGACGACAACAGAACGTACTGAACGTGTGTACAGCTACGGTATGATGGCGTGTTTGGCAGCGTTTAGGGGAATTGGTAGATAAAAATGGGGTTCACAGGAGGCAACCGTCAGAACTCCTCAAGACACCATGGTGACCAGATGTCCAGGAGATGTCCAAGAGATGGAGGATTCGGCAAGGCTGAGACGAGAATACCTACTATCTGCCCTTCAACATCAGCATGACCTCATCGATTTGACATTGTACCAGTTGCGTGCCAGGGCCAGGAGAAGAAGACGTGAACGAAGGAGAAGGGCCTGGGTGCGACCATGGATCGGGAGGCGACGGCAGTTTGGCATGTATGACCAGCTTATGGTGGAACTCCGAAACCAGGACAATGCATCCATCTTGGTATGCGTATGTCCCCAGCGATGTTCGACGAGCTGCTAGCTAGGGTGGGGCCAAGGATAACCAAGCAGTACACCTTCTACATGGATCCGCAGTAAACTTTATACAGGGATCCACAGTACACCTTCTACTGGGACCCGCAGCACCTTCTACAGGGACCAGCAGCACCTTCTACAGGGACCCGCAGCACCTTCTACAGGGATCCACAGTACACCTTCTACAGGGATCCACAGTACACCTTCTACAGGGATCCGCAGTACACCTTCTACAGGGATCCACAGTACACCTTCTACAGGGATCCACAGTATACCTTCTACAGGGACCAGCAGCACCTTCTACAGGAATCCACAGTACATCTTCTACAGGGATCCACAGTACACCTTCTACAGGGATCCGCAGTACACCTTCTACAGGGATCCACAGTACACCTTTTACAGAGAACCGCAGCACCTTCTACAGGAATCCACAGTACATCTTCTACAGGGATCCACAGTACACCTTCTACAGGGATCCACAGTACACCTTCTACAGGGATCCACAGTACACTTTTACAGGGATCCACAGTACATCTTCTACAGGGATCCACAGTACACCTTCTACAGGGATCCACAGTACACCTTCTACAGGAATCCACAGTACACCTTCTACAGGGATCCACAGTACACCTTCTACAGGAATCCACAGTACATCTTCTACAGGGATCCACAGTACACCTTCTACAGGGATCCACAGTACACCTTCTACAGGGATCCACAGTACACCTTCTACAGGGATCCACAGTACACCTTCTACAGGGATCCACAGTACACCTACAGGGATCCATAGTACACCTTCTACAGGGATCCACAGTACACCTTCTACAGGGATCCACAGTACATCTTCTACAGGGATCCACAGTACACCTTCTACAGGGATCCACAGTACACCTTCTACAGGGATCCACAGTACACCTTCTACAGGGATCCACAGTATACCTTCTACAGGGATCCACAGTACACCTACAGGGATCCATAGTACACCTACAGGGATCCACAGTACACCTTCTACAGGGATCCACAGTACATCTTCTACAGGGATCCACAGTACACCTTCTACAGGGATCCACAGTACACCTTCTACAGGGATCCACAGTACACCTTCTACAGGGATCCACAGTACACCTTCTACAGGGATCCACAGTATACCTTCTACAGGGATCCACAGTACACCTTCTACAGGGATCCACAGTACACCTTCTACAGGAATCCACAGTACACCTTCTACAGGGATCCACAGTACACCTTCTACAGGGATCCACAGTACACCTTCTACAGGGATCCACAGTACACCTTCTACAGGGATCCACAGTACACCTTCTACAGGGATCCACAGTATACCTTCTACAGGGATCCGCAGTACACCTACAGGGATCCTTAGTACACCTTCTACAGGGATCCACAGTACACCTTCTACAGGGATCCACAGTACACCTTCTACATGGATCCACAGTACACCTTCTACATGGATCCACAGTACACCCTCTACAGGGATCCACAGTACACCCTCTACAGGGATCCACAGTACACCTTCTACAGGTATCCACAGTACACCTACAGGGATCCACATTACACCTGCTACAGGGATCCACATTACACCTTCTACAGGGACCAGCAGTACACCTTATACAAGGACCCACAGTACACCTTCTATAGGGATCCGCAGTACACCTACAGGGATCCACAGTACACCTACAGGGATTCACAGTACATCCTCTACGGGGATCCACAGTACACCTGCTACACGTATCTGCAGTTCACCTTCTACGGGGATCCACAGTACCCCTTCTATGGGAATCCACAGTACACCTTCTACATGGATCCGCGGTACACTTTCTACATGGATCCGCTTGAGGCTGGCTCTGACTACAAATTCATTTGGGCAGGTACTGGATCAACAACCGATGCGCAGACATACAATGACTGTGAGCTGAAGGGATGCGCTGAGGACGGTACCCTAGGTTTCCCTGACCCTGAGCCTCTTCCCAACCTCAACCAGGGTGTCCCCTACTTCTTCATCGGTGACGATGCCTTCGCCTTACGACCAACCATGATGAAGCCATACCGCCTTCGGGGTCAGACGAATGAACAACGCATCTTCAACTAGAGGCTTTCCAGAGCAAGGAGGGTAGTAGAAAATGCTTTAGCCACATTGGCTGACAGATTCCATGTACCATGATTCAAGTACCATGCATCACCCCTCCACTGTCAAGCTCATTGTCAAAGCATGCTTGATCCTGCTCAACCTCATGAGGATCAGGTAATTGTTTACATTGCATTTTGATGCAGTATACAATGCATTTGAACTTTTAGCCTTTGTTTATAAATGTATATGCTTTTACCTAAAATTTTATGGGAATCATTATATATATTATTTTTCATTGTACAGTGGAGGAGAGTCATCCTCGATAATCTCCAGGGTATACGTTTCGATCACTCTCCACTATACCCTGGATGCATCCACAGCTTGGCCCGAGGATGGCAAGAGGGACGTCACTTGGAGGATACACACACAGCTAGTGGCCCCAATGCTGCCTCCCAGGATACAAGATACAGAGGAATCTCCTCAATGCACTGGGTTAACTCCAGGTGGTGCAGCTTCCTGGCAATATAGGATGATCTAGATGATATTTGTGTTACAAGTCATTAAAACACTCAGTAGTAAACAAACACCTTTGAAAAATGATGTTAAACACTGTTTTTATCTAAATAAATAAACGAATGCCTTTGTTTGTATATAAATATTAACAGTTGTTTTGTTTTTATTTATGAACTAGATTATACACGTAATAAATATAAGCTAATAATGACAGACACACACTACATGTATGGAAACGAATAAGGGAACACATGAAAGTACAAGTGTCCCTTTATTCTTTTCCAGGTTTCTTCACAAGGTATGTATTGTACTGTGGGAGAAATTCTGGAAAAAATAAAGGAACTCTTTTACTTTCATGTGTTCCCTTATTCGTTTCCATGAGTATATGAACCAACTACTTTTCATTGACATGCCAAGGAATAGGGTTAAGAGATAAGGCCATAAGTAATGTATTATTGTCAGTTATTGTATTTTGATTTTAAAATTAAAAATTAAATTAAAAATAACATCAACAAACATTAATTTGTGACAACTTTTATTCAGTGCTCGTCTGACAAATAACTGTACGTGATAACAATGGTCATTCAAGTACATACAAAATGGCGCATAAATTGCCAAAACACTGTCTCTGGTAATCCGGAACTCTCACTGTCACTGAAACTAGTTCTTCTCTAGTGGTGGAAATGTCTTCAGCTCCTCAGACGGACTGCTTACAGCATCAAAATTACTGGTCAGGTTGAGCATTCCTGAGAGTCCAGAGATGTTAGACATACTCTGACTGTTAGCGTCAAGGCCGCTGGGGCTCTGGTTCAATACCTGGTGGGCCGAACCTATAGTAGCAGGTACAGAGGCGGACCTTGGCTGCTGCGTGATCTGAGGAGGAGGTTGAGGAGGAGGAGGCTGAGGAGGAGAAAGCATCATCCGCTGGTATTGAGGCTGTTGCTGTTGGTACTGTGGCTGCAGAGGCTGCTGCATGTACTGGTCCACGTAGTCAGCTATTTGTGAACCCCAGACTGTCGCAGCCGGTGCCTTGTGTCTCCACACGAGGGGAGGGGGCTGGTATATCTCCCACGCCGATGGGGTGTAGGTAGCTGGTGCTGAACTGAGCCGCACGTAAGCAGGAGCAGGAAAGATGGGGACTCTGGGAGGTTCTTCCTCGTCACTCTCCTCGTCCATCAGCTCACTGAGGATGGTGTTGACGCGTGACCGTGCCTTCCGGAACTTGCGCTTGGACATGATTACCAGGCTGTCGCGCACGTAGTTGGCGAAGGCTGTGGTGACTGTGATGGGCTGAGGCTGTGCGAGACCTTTGATGAGCTCCCCAGACTCGTGCACCCTCTCCTGGAGTGACTGCAGCAAATGGTCATCGTCCTGGCTACGCTTGCCCAAGCGCTGTGAACATGAGGAGAGGACAGTGAACATGAGGAGAGGACAGTGGACGACGTGTGGTCATCAACCACCATCTGCAGAGGCAGCCTCGGAAGCCTCGAGGTCCCCGCTGTGAGCTGTAATTGATGCCCTCACCTGCAAATATTATTATTATTATTATTTTTATTATAGGATATTTATATAGCGCACATATCCAGGCAACTAGTACATGCTCAAGGGGCTGGTATTACTTATGACAATACAAGGCAATTCATTCATTATAAAATTGATATAAATATATAACAATATTACTTTATACTTACACTGTTGACGGGCTCATGATGGCTGACCAGAGTCTTGATGAATCTGAAGTGTGCCTTCACCCACTGATCTCTCTCTGTCAGTTCCGGGGAGCTGTCACCGCTCTTCTTCTTGTCGAGACGATTGTCAGAGGCTTGAACCACCCTTGAAGGTGCTCGAAAGTCTTTCCCATGGCCTTGGCTTGATCCTCCCACATCTTTGCCCTTTTGTCCACCCTCCGGTAGTCAGTCTTCTTGATGTCCCAGAGGATGGCATTCTCGAGAAGGAAATCGCGCATAAGCTGCTCCTCTTGAACATCAAGACAAAACTGTGTCTTCTTGGCCCTCTTCTTCTTGGCCTTGGATGGCTGAGTGGAGGTGGACTGAGAGGAGGTATCTGACGATGTCCAAGAGTCGTTGGAATCAGCATCATCTCCATCGGAGGGTGAGGGTGTGGGTGATGATGGATCACGTCCATCATGTCCACGGCCGCGGCCAGCAGACTTCTTGGCAGCATTCTTCGAAGATTTCTTCGGCATGACGGTGATGTTGATACGGTGATGTGGATACTGGGACACTGATGTAGGTATTGCAATGTCCAGTGCGGTTATGATTTGAATCGTCCAGCAGCAGCCTTTTTATAGGCTACGACACGTGATCGTCGGCGATACGCTGTCGCCCGCTCTGCATAAGTTAACAGATTATCGTTGGGTACAAGATGTGAACGCCGGCAACACACTAATCATTTGTTGGTATAAGTTATCTGTAAGTTATCGACACGGTCTATAAAAACTACGTCTATAAAAACACGTTACACACTATTATTATCATTATTATAGGACATTTATATAGCGCGCATATCCACGCAACTAGTACATGCTCAAGGCGCTGTATACACCCAACTCGTTATGAATACACTATGTTTACGCCCCGCATTGAGTGAGTGAGTGAGTTAAAATTTAAAGTCACTTTGGCAATATTTCAGCCATATCGTGACTGCCCCGCATTGAAAACACCATCGATAGTTTGTGATACATCGACATACGCTGGCTAAATATTCAAGGTGTGACAGGGCCTGTAAAGTTGACATTGTAATGTCTTTTTCTTTAAAATATGTGAATCGGAGGTGGTTTTAAGGCAAATCGTGTAGTAGCAACCAAGGAATCTTGAATGGTTTCATAAACGGATTTGCATTACATAAAATTGACTGGTAGTTCACAAGTTCTTCATTTTTTACGCTACTTTATCCCAGAACAAACATACACAATACTTATAACACTTTTATACTGTTAAATTAAAACTGACGCGGGTTTCTAAGTTAGTTTCAACACTGGCACCTAGGTCAGAATTCAAATGTTACATAAAAAGGTTACTTGCCTTGGTGTATCGCTCTGTTACTTCTTGTAACCGTAGGGGCGGTGGGGTAGCCTAGTGGTTAAAGCGTTGGCTCGTCACGCCGAAGACCCGGGTTCGAATCCCCACATGGGTACAATGTGTGAAGCCCATTTCTGGTGTCCCCCGCCGTGATGTTGCTGGAATATTGCTAAAAGCGGCGTAAAACCAAACTCAGTAAGTCTTGTAACCGTTAATCAGAACTCATACATTTTTTCGTGAAAACAGCGTGTACTGTTCACAGAACTTATCAACCCTTGCTCAGAACCAAGTACTTTGACCACATGGCACTGCTTTGGTGGCCTCGTGGATAGAGTATCTGCCGGAGAGCTGGAGGTCGGAAGTTCGTTAAAAACGTTAAGAGATGATACTTATTTCACTGCTTGGCGCTCGGTATAACGGTTTCATAATTAAGTGAGTGGGTGAGTTTTGTTTTACGCCGCTTTTAGCTATATTCGAGCAATATCACGGCGAGGGACACCAGAAATGTACCATGTGGGGAATCGAACCCGGGTCTTCGGCGTGACGAACGAACGCTTTAACCACTAGGCTACCCCACCGCCCCCTCATAATGAAGGGGGTCATGTTAAATTGCGGCATTGTTTATCAGTGGGGTAGAACAAAAGAGCCGGCATTAGTCCGAACAATGTCAAACAGACACACAGAGAGATAGAGGCAGGCACAGAGACAAGGCACAATTTGACACACAGACACACACACGCA